CCCCCTTCCCGGCCCCCTCAAATCTGCCCCTTCCAGGGCACTTACGCAGGCAGAATGTGCACAGCCCTCCCAGCTTGGGGATGGGGGGACCCCCCTCTTCTCTCCCCCACGCCTAAATACCCCCCGTGGGGGCTGGGCTCATCACCTCCCAACCAGGGAAACCTGGGGCAAGGGCAGCCCTCTCAGCCGGGCTCAGCGCGGGGACGTTATTCCACGCGGGGCTGCGGGGACGTTATTCCACGCGGGGCTGCATCCCGCTCCCAGCCCGCCTCCCCGTCTCCGCTCTCCCGCACGTCGCCCACGCCGGAGGCTCCCGGGGGGCACAGGGACACGGCGCTTGCAGCAGGCAGATGGCGTTGGCACCGGCGCGGCAGCTCCGCGCTGAGCGCTGGCCGCTTCTTGCATGCGTTGAAAATAAAAGAAAAAATACCAGGCTCTTTGTTTCATACCCCGCCGCAATCCCTCCGAACACCCGGGTGGCTCCATCCTTTTGCATGGACCCCCATGCGGCCTCGCTCCTCTGCCCTGCAACCAAATGCAACCCCTGGGGTGATTTACTTCTAGTTCAGCCCCTGCTCGTGCTCTTCTGCACCTCGTCGGGGTCGGAACTGGCTCATGTGCCACCTACACGGGTGGCCTGAGCATGGGCAGCCCCATGTGGCACTGGAGCCCCACACACCACAGAGCTCCCACCGTGCAAAACCCTAGACTTTGATCCGGCAGCAGCTCCATCAATGTTTAATGCCACGGGAGGGCTGGGGAGATGTGCGTTTTGAAGCTGGATTGAACTTTGCAAAATTAGGGTATTCGAATAATTTTAATCTGCTTGATGCTCCCACCTGGCAGGCACCTGGAATGCTAATGAGAGGCTCGCGGGGTCCCCATGCCCAGGTGGAGGTGTAAATCCCTGCAGGGCTTCCCCTTTCCCTGTTGCCCCAGTCCTCTCCATGCATGCCCAGCCGTGGCCCCCAGCGACTGCCCTTCCAGCAGTGCAATGAGTTGTCCTCAGGTCTCAGCCTAGCACAGCATCACACCCAAGACTGCCAGAATGTGTCACGCAGCTGTCCCCACGTCACCGACCCGCACCTAGAGAGGGTTATTTCCCCCACAATGAGTCCACGGTGTGGGGGGCCCCGCAGGCAGCTCTTGCCCCCTCTCTCAGGCTGCTGCTTGAGCCGCTGCCGCTCAACCCTGGAGCGTGATCCCACGCGGAGCCTTCCTCCTGGCTGCCAGCCATGGACCCGCTCACCCCCAGGGAGCGTTTCCTTCTCGACGCTCTCCTGACCCTCGCGGCAGCTTTAGCTAACGGATTTTGTGCTGCCGCAGAAATCGCCTCCGCTTAATTTAAACCCAGGTCAAGAGGAGCAAGCGAGAGAGGCCATGAGCTCCCTCCTCCTCCTCTCTGCCATGGCCAGAGCTGGGGGCAGCTCCAGGGCTCCCCGAAATGCCCCCAGCCCCATGTGGCTCCTTGGGGGCAGGTGATGCCCTGGGGAGCAGCAACAGGGACCATAGCGGGGTCCTCGGTGCAGCGAAAGGAGCAGCCTGAGGTCCCCGCCGGTGCCTCCCCGCGCCACGGGGGCTTTTCCAGCACCGTCTATTAGCATGTGGTTAGTGGGAGAGCAGTTCGTTTTGCCATTTAGCGTTTCATGGATAATTAATTATTCCTCGTGCTCCCGGGGAAGAGCAGAACAGGTAGGAGCTGTTCAAAGGCTGCTCAGGCCCTGGGAAATGGGTGAATTATTCACGGCATCAAAGGCAGGGGGAAGCGGGGGGGACAGGCTGCTGCGGTGGAGCTCTGCTGTGCCACCACCGTGCTGTCGGTACCCGGGATATCTCTGTGCTGAGACCTTGCATGAGGATATCATGCACATCTTGCACGAGGATGCCATGCACGCCTTGCACAAGGATGCCATGCATACCTTGCACAGAGGTGCCATTCACGCCTTGCACAAAGATGTCATGCACTCCTTGCAGGAGGATGCCATGCACTCCTTGCACGAGGATGCCATGCACGCCTTGCACAAGGATGCCATGCATGCCTTGCACTAGGATGTCATGCACTCCTTGCATGAGGATGCCATGCACACCTTGCACAGAGGTGCCATGCACTCCTTGCATGAGGATGCCGTGCACTCCTTGCACGAGGATGCTGTGCACACCTTGCACGAGGACATCGTGCTCTGCTTGCACGA